TATATTCACCCATGGCAATCACGGTATCGACATCAGCAGAACTCAACTCAATTTTCTCAAAATGGTAACTCGAGGAAGCAAGATTATAATGGTCAGACGACCAATACAAGGAAAAGTTCCCTTCTACATTTTGAGAATCAGAAGCATTGAGAAACCAAGCTTTCTTGCCGGGATGTGCAGAAACCTTAAAGAACTTCTCTTTAAAGTTCTTAAAGGACTCAGAGTAGACATGAAAAAGCTTCCGACCAGCAATACCCCAGAGAGTAACCCAACCCTTCCGTTCTGGTGGTTCGAGGCCAGTTCGAGGCATGATAGCTTGAAAGAAGAAAAAAAATGGACACAGAAGAAGGTAGGGCTAAATAGGCACAAAAACGCTCAAAGGCCTTAACAAAACCCCAACCGTTGGGATGAAGCTAGGTGGGAGCTATGTGAAGATGGTTCAAAACGCAGATCTGGAACTCGGTCAAGGGAAACCTAATGCCGAGTTAAGTAACCATATCTCAGTAGAAAAATAAAAAGCAAGGCTCATCCGAGTTCCTCCCAGAGCAAACCGACTCATCCTCACGTGGAGGAACTATATCATAATTCTCCAACTTCCCAACAAGAAGCCCAGACACATCGTCCACACTCATCTCGGACATAGTGTTTAAGACTTCATAAGTTACCCAAAGAAATTGAGCTACTAAGGCGGCAGGAGGAGACTCAGAATCTGACTCAGCAGAACGAGACTCCTCTACAATCTCTGGTGGAGATGACGTCATAAATACCTAAAACAAGAGAAAAGCTTAATCAGAAGGACAGAATGAGCATACCTGAATGAAAAAAGCTACTAGATGAAGGATCGTTAGAAGACGAAGAAGTAGATTTGTCCAAGATCGTGATCGGGTCATCTGCCTCACCAAAAGCTGAGATAGATCCCGGAACATCTCCATGCTGGCAACTAGCTAAAGTAGACTCGGCTAAAGAGTCTCATCCTTTCTCAATGAGTTTGGAGCTAAAAAAGACACAAGAATAACATGGTCCAACTTGCTTGGACTGGGAAGACTTTGGAAGAACTCGGGTGACTGATGACATATCAAGATCTGGGGGGTAGAAGCGACACTGGAAGGGTTCAAACCAGTTTGGGAAAAATATTTGGAAACACGTCTGCTTGCAGAAAGACGACTCATACCCCGTCTGGAAGAACCACAACCCTGACTCTCACTTAGACCTCAATCGACAAACCAGACCTCATTTTAGATCCACCACCACGATAACCACGAAGTATGGCTTCACGTTCTTCTTCTTCTTCAATTCTCGGGATCTCCCAGAACCAAAAACGAACCCCAGGAGGGACCTTCTTTAACAACTTGGATTTTTTCCCCTTCTTCCCCTCACAACGTAAAACTGAAAAAGAATGATTTTTCCCTCTCATTATGAAACGACACCAAATTCAAAACAACAATGAAAGAAACGACAGACAAATAGACAACAATGCTGCTTAAATACCAAAGGTTAAAGAACATGCACTTCCCCAAAAAGAAAAACTACTGAAGAAACTAAAAATGTAACCAGCAAATGATTTACCAGAATGATGTATCAAATATCAAAAGAACAAACATGCAGAAGTCAAATAGCCCAATGCAAAGATTGAACCGGAAGAGGAAAGAAGTTGGAAGGCAAGTAAAGATACCTGAGTAGAAGAAATGAACTCGCAGAGATATGAAAATGCACTTGCAAATGCTAGCACTCAAGAAATTTGCGCAAATAAAGGCTTCTGTAGAATAACTAAGGCAAAGAAAAAAGAAGAAGGAAAAGGACGCATGTTTATATACTAATAGTGGTAACCACAACGGTTACAAATGGCAAAGGTCAGGGGCATTGAAGTCATTACATCATAAAGTAATGATTAGATGCTTGAAATGACCTATTTAATAAATGCGCACGAAATGCAAAAACGGCTGCAGCACGCTAATGAGTGCAGCACGCTAATGAGTGCAGCAAGCACCACGTGTCAAAATGAAATGATTACCGACAGAGAAGTTGGCATGGGAAAATATAAACCTACAACCGGGATCCATGAAATGGACTCCAGGCATAATGATGCCAAGCCGAGTTCCAAAATGGTGTGCTTGGGGGCAACTCGCCAATTGGAATCCAATAGCTCAAGCACATTCGCAATCCGATTAATAAGAATATATACAGTATCTCACCGTGTGAATGCTCAACCCGACAAGATGAGGGGAAATAAGGTATTACTCCCCGTTCCCAACAATTTCGAAGCTTAGAACATATGCGTAAGGAGTTAAAAAAATTCAGATCAATGCAAAAGAAAATTCACCCCGGCAGCCCGAACGCCCATGCAGCCTGGCTGAGGGGAAACTGTTATGGACCCATATAAGGGTCCCATTGATTGACAGGCCCAACAGGGGGGAAATCCTAATACGACAACATGGCAGATGGGCTTGGGCCCTCATCAGAGGCACTAAAGGTTCAGAATCCACTACCCACAGGTAAATCCTATAAATAAGAGGGAAAACTTACAGATATGGTACGCTCTTTCTCTTACTGTTACGTTGTCACTGTGCGCACACACACCCTCATTGGCAAAGCCGTTATTGCTTTATTGTGCACAGTGATCTGCTTGACTCAAGGGTATCTCTTCTATAGATACCTTGGAGAGGGCACTAGATTCAAAATCAACATACTAGTCCATTGGGCTAGACACCTCTGTCTCCAAGACAGAACAAATACAAATTAGTCTCGATTTAAATCGGGGCATATTTTGTAAAACTAGTTCTGCTCACGTACCAGCGGGATAGCTACAAAATTGAATTGTGACTATTCCCCCCTCCCCCCCCCCAAAAAAAAACATATATAAGAAAGACACGTGACAGTTTTGCATGAACGAGGTATAAGACTTACTACATTAGATTGATATTATATCTACAGATAATATTATTTGATATTTTATTATAAAAAATATTACATTAACGGGGTCGAAAAGTTATTTGTATTATAACGGGTTAATTTATAGGGATAAGTTACTCTGCCTACTCTTGTTTTGCCTACCTTTCTCAACACCATTAGATTGCAATCTCATCCAATGATAGAGATTTACGGGATAAAATTAACCCTTTCACTCCTTCCTCTTTCCCACTACCCTGACCCTTTTCTCTCCCTTGAACATATTGTCAATTAAAAGTAAAGGGTGATCAGAAGCCATGAATCTGATCCTTATTTTGTCATCAACACTTTTCGTTGCTGCATCAAAAGCCATGAATCTGATCCGTATTTTGTATACAATATAATAACTTTAAAATTTGAAAAGTGTTAATGACAAAATAAGGATCAGATTCGTGGCTTCTGATCACCCTTTACTTCTAATTAACAATCCGTTGCTAATTGACAATCTGTTTCTGGGGAGAGAAAAAGGGGAGGAGAGAGAAAATGTGAGCGTAGTGGGAAAGAGGAAGGAATAAAATGGTTGATTTTATCGCGTAAATCTCTATCATTGGATGAGATTGTAATCTAACGGTGTTGAGAAATGTAAGCAAAACAAGAGTAGGCAGAATAACTTATCCCTATTAAAATATAATTATAAGTACACTCTAAGCACTTAATAGTTTTTTCGTATCGATTATCACCGGTCATTTTTTAGGAGATTAGACAATTCGAACAATGACGGGTTGGGTTGAATATTTTAATCTACCATTATGCCCTGTATTAAGTCAGGTTAAAATAGGTCAACTCGTGGGTCAACCTGCGAGTTGCAGATGGTCCTTTTCCTCTTCATCTCCACCCTGTTCTTCTTTTCTCATTCTTTTCCTTTATCTCTTTTACCCTTCCCCATCTTCTTCTTCTTTTTATTTTATTTATTTATTATTTTTATACCCTTTTTTTTTACTTTTATGAGTATATATATTATTCTATTAATTTTTATTTTTATTCCTTCGTACTTTTATTTTGGTTCATCTACCATCGACTGCAATTGATTTGAGATAAATGTGTTGTTAATGTTGATGTAAGCTAATATTTCATTTATAATACCAAATTTTTGTGATATCTAATATTTTTATCCCAAATATTTTTGGTAGAGGAGATTTTTTTTACCAAGTAAATGCAATTATCAGTAATATGATAGGAAAGTTAAAAAAAAGTTGTTTGCTTGGCCAAAATTTTATCAGAAAAATTTGGTTAAATTTTGTGAGTCTTTATTTCATTGAAGGTGAAATAACGATGGGTTAATGTGTTGAAATATCGAAAATAACCCTTAATTTTACTAGATATGTAGACATGTGTACTTAGAATAGGATAATATGGTAATACTCTTCGTTCATCTTTTTGTGGTTAAATTAGGTAGTTTTCTAGAAATACCATATACGAAGTGGTAAAATTCAACTGTGATTTGTTTTCCTTTTTACATATGCTTTTCAAAGGTTGGGAAAAAGAGAAGCATGACTAGATTACCAAAAAAAAAAAAAAAAAAACATGACTAAATTTTTTTGTTCCACCTTCCAAACAAAACAATAATGGAATACTAATTCAAGATGGATGGGGAATCAAACGAAAGTTTTTAACGAAACGCCCCCATTATGCTATTCTTAACCCATTTTTTAAAGGCGGAATCCAACTTGCTCAGGCCCTTTTTGCCGGGTTGAGAGTGGGTTATTACCAAGTCAATTAGGCTATGTGAAAGAAGAAGTTTATAACTAGAAAAAAATGAGAGAGAGAGAGAGAGAGAGAGAGTGGAACTAACAAAATTGAATTTTTAAAATGCATTGTACGGAAATAGAAAATGACCATTGACAACGACGTAGGAAGCGCGTGGAGTGGAAATTTCCGGGCAAACCAAAAGGATTCTGATGCAGTTTTTTCTCATTTCACTCGTATCGATCTCTGTTTATCTTTTTTGCAACTTGCCTAACTTTCTCAGTCCTTAATTCCCAGGAAACCGCTAGAGGTTGTGGATCTATATATAACGAGTAACTGCATGACAATTAATTGGACTAGAAAAAATAAGGGGGAAAAATAGAAAGAAAATTTTCGAGTTGTTTTCTTTGTTGGTACGACAAAACAGTGAGAGAAATAGAGAGAACATTATTATCAAGACAAATTAAGATGGAAAATATGCCACCAGGTTATCGTTTCTACCCTACCGAAGAGGAGCTGATTTCGTGCTATCTTCACAATAAGCTCGAAGGAGTGAGGGAAGACATGATCAATCGGATTATACCCGTCGTTGATATCTATGACTACAACCCCTCCCAACTCCCACGTAAAAAAAAAAAAAAACCCTTTGATTCCTCCTTCTCTCTCTTTTTCTTTCATTTTTCTGATTCTTTTTTTATATATATTATTTTAAATCAATCTGGAGCTAGACTTGAAAGCTATGGTTCAACTTATTTCATTTTATCTAGTCCTTCATAGATTTCTAACTTTGGAAAAATAGACATTATTATATAATACTTTTATTTCATGTAATTATAAGCTATGGTTTGTGAGCATGCCTTGTTCTTCTTTTCATGCGTAGTTGCTCGTAAGCAATTAATATTCTAATTTTCCTCTTATTTTCGGTTTCAGAAATTTCAGGAGAGGCGAGTCTGAGAGACACGGAGCAATGGTTCTTTTTCATTCCGAGGCAAGAAAGTGAAGCACGAGGAGGGAGACCAAAGCGTCTCACAACTACTGGGTACTGGAAGGCTACTGGCTCTCCTAATCATGTTTATTCTTCTGATAATCACATCATCGGCATGAAAAGGACCATGGTTTTCTATACTGGAAGAGCTCCTAAGGGAAAGAAAACCGATTGGAAGATGAATGAGTATAAGGCCATCCAAGGCGAAATATCCTCTTCAAACAATTCAGTTCCTAAGGTACTTTTAATTATAAGGTCTCAAAATTAGGGCTAGCTAGCTAGATCATATAAGTGGCTGACTAATTAATTTCTTATGTAATTAACTATATTCAAGTTCTATAGACACCTACTCTCTATAGTTGCAATTAGGGCTAGTTAGATCATAAATGGTTCTTTTTATTGTGCAGTTTTTATGGGTTTTATTAATCTTATGTTAAAGGAAATAAGTTATCTCATGTCATAGAAATAAATTTGTGGATTCCACCATCTGAAAAATAAAAATAAAAGAAAAGAAAAAATGTGGCAGAGTTATTGAAGGGTGTGTAGGAGAAAAAATTATTAGCATAAGAGTAGTTTTTTCCAATTTTTATATGGTAGAATAGTTGCAATTCTTGAACATTAACGTTATGATTTTACTATTACTTAATTGCAGTTAAGGCAGGAATATAGTTTATGCCGAGTATACAAGAAATTAAAGTGCTTACGAGCATTTGATAGGCGACCACCGCCAAGGAGGGACACATGTACAGCTAGTTATCCTAATGTTAAAAATGTTGGAGATCAGCATCAGAAGGGTTCAACATCTCATGCAACAAGCTCACCAGAGAGTTCATCCTCTGGAGACCATGGTCAACCCTCCCATGGTGGTGGGGAAGCTAGCCAAATGGAGCTTGACAATGAGCCATTGTTGGATTGGGAGCAAGTAGATTGGTTCTTGGGATCAGAATCATGAGCAGAAGATATGCAATCTATAAACCTTGCTGCTAGCTACAGCAAAAGTGGTGCAAGTGGAAATAATTAGCTGGACTCATCGAATGGACAGAAGGCTTGTGTACGTAGTTATATGCGTCGCAGAACCACTACTTTAATTTATTTCTTACTATTAATTGTTTCAATAATCTAGCTAATTTGTAAAGACGTGTAATGACTAGTTTGTCTCATAAACTATATATATCAGAAACTCTTCTTCTTGTGATCTATCGCACCATATGCCCATCTTCATGAATGGAAGAATATGAAATAAATTCGCCATAGCCGAAACAATTTATGTGGCGATCTGCGATCATCTTTATTTTGAGTTTAGATTTAGAGAATTTGATTGTAAGATTTCTTTGTGGCAAAAATACCACTTAGTGCATATAAGTTATCTGCATTTATTATCCGTATTGAAATCTTAAAAAATTATAAATACAAAGACTATTATAACCTTGAAATAAATTAAAATTATAAAAACATCATGATTTCCGCTTCAAAACAAGTCGTATTGAGCTTACTGCAGAACAATCGAACTCTTTCTTTATAGGGATATACTTTTCTTATGTTGTAAGTAAGTAATTGCCTCATGTTGTAGAAATAAAATTACAAGTAGGATCTACAAGTAAGAGGAGAGAGAGAAAAAAAGTGATGATATCCAATTCTTTTTTACGTGTGTAGAAAAGTTATTTATCTCATGTAAAATGAGATAAACATAACCCTTCTTTATATCCTCGTAAAAGAATAAAGAAAGAAAGAAACTACGTCATGCATGACTTAAAAATTAAAGATGTGGAGCTGTCCGTTTAATTCCAGCTAGAATCAGGTGAAATATAATTTATGGAAACGAGATATCATGGATTTGGTTTTGATTAGTTTTTGGAGAAAAATTGCTTTTCTTTTAAAAATTATCTGACTTTTAAAAATTATCTGATTTTGACTATGTTGGTTTAATCCTATGGTCATAAATTCACCAAAAGAAAACATAAAGTGGGATTTTAATTGGCCAATTAAGTTTTTAAATGAGGCAAGCAATTGATAGGCATGCCTCATATATATTACTATAGGTTGGATAAATGGAAATTATTTTGATTCTTTTCCGTTTCCTTTTTTTTTTCTCATTTTGTTAAATATATTGGAATTATAACACTATTTGAAATATTTTCTATCATTCATTTTTATTTGTGCCATCTTAAAGTTTATAGTTATATTCAACTTAGAAAAATTTACCATTGGCAACAATTCAATAACCAGTGAATAGAAAAATAATGGACAATAATTAGGGAAGAATATAGGGGATTGATAGAGACACAGATATATAGAAGGTCTCAAAACCTTGCTTTAGAAGTCTTTGAATTTTTTTTGTCTAAGTCGATTGTTTGATCTCCTAAGAAAATGCCATTGTAGTCCTTGGCACCTCAAAACCCTAAATCCAAACTCCACTTGACAACAGTCCAAGTTGACCACTGCCAAACAAACAGAAGGAAAAACCTCAAAGACCACCGGACTTAAATTGCAGAGAGGACTTCAAGTTTTCATATACTTTCAACTAACGAAAGGTATTTGACTCGCACTAATACATTTTAATAATCATTTGATGGCATATTTTTCTTGGGTAGATTTAATGGCACTTTATTCACGACAATCAATACTGCTATTGTTAAATCAACCGAAAAGGCATAACACCTATTTTACCTGAAATAGTATAAATGCTATAATGAGGGTATGTAACTATCAAATTAATTGTGGGGTACATTAAAAATCAAATACAATGCAATAATAATACCACAGCACATTGAGTTTTGAGGTTTAGGGAGCTATTTTCACAAATTATTCTTCGTCTTTGGTTAGTCATTCAGCATCCATCGTCTAAGATGATATATAATATTATATTAAATCTAGCACTTTCCAATTAGTTTTTTTTTGTCGTTACCCTTGTCATTTACAGAGAGAAGAGCAATGAGTATTTGTTTCTATAGCATAGGAAAATCGATCCTTTCATGTTGAAATTTTACATGATTCGATCACAAGAAGATTTGGTTTTTATTCTCTTTTCATATATAAATTTTAATTAAACCTCACGTGTTTAATGTCAGTAAAGAAAGAAATAGAAAAAACATTCTCATATGACTATAAAGTTCAAGAAATTTTAACATCAGATGATCTACTCCCGAAGCACATAATACTGATAATAGTATCGTATTTGTAAAGAACCTTGGGATACATCACCCCATAAGCTAACTCAAATACAAGGTTTAGAGTATTGATCACTCACCGATTTTGGAAACTATAACGAATTCAAGTGTGGTAGGACTATAGCAACCATGTTTTCGAGGTGATTATTGGAAACAGAAATATTAAGTTAGAAATCTCATTTAGCTAAAACAGACTCATCCATTATATTGCGGTTCTATTCGGTTCGGAAAAATATGATTCTGTTTAAAAGAATATGATACAGTTCTGTTCATTTGATTTTTTCACACTTCTAAGAGTGGAAATGATTCAATTTTTAGCCCAAATTGACCGAATTGTGGTAAAGTGATTTTGTTCATAAATCAAACCGCGACTTAGAAAAAACAATTCGGTTGTTAAACTAGTTAAAAAAATGTGATTATTTTGATGCGGTTCAAATCGGTTCACACTTCAGTTTGATTCACTTGTTTTTTTCTTTTCTTTTCCCCCTAACCTCCACCGAGACAACATAGAACATAAAACACCAACTTGTTGATTTTGATAACTGTCTAATTGTGACCGGCATTGAAGAGGTCCAAGAAACGAAACAAGATCCAATGATATACAAATCATGTGCTGCGATCCAAAATGGCATTCGCTTGTAAAGAATTTCTGAGTAACTACAACACTATGATCTATAGAAAGTTGACTATAAGACTTAGTTGACACACTCGATCAATGAAGGTCCCAGCAATTAGTAGGATCTTGTCATCAACTTCTGAGTTGTATTTTTATTGTTTTTATCGATAGGTACACGAACTCGATACCTCATGAAAAACCGTGAACATGTAAGAATGTAAGAACATTCCCCTATGCTTTGCGTACCCTTCTCTGAAAACAGTCATTTTGGGGGGGAAATTAAGTACAACGCTTACGAGTGGATCAATGATTCAATTCAATAAACAGAAAGTGATTTTAGCTTAGTTAGCTGATTATATATGTATTAATTAACGTCCTTCAAATTGTGCACTTTGTTGTGATTAAAATGTTTAGGAAAACTTTTCACCAAAAATAAAATAAAATAAAAATATGTGTTTGGGAAAACAAACACTTCTAGCCAAAGCCAAAGTAGCTTGCACCTCTGATTTAATAGGTAAGACTTCAATTTTTTATATATCGGTAAAGAATAACATGAGAAACATTAATTATGATGATTTGGTGGTATTCATGTTCTTATGAAATTGCAAAAAAAAGAAAAAGAAGAAACGCATGATAAATATTTTTCTAGACCTGTATTTTATCTACTATATACCAAAAAAAAAAAAAAAAAAAGTTTAGCTATTATATGTGATTAATAAAGTGAAAATTTTATTGGGATACTATAACATTTGAACTATCACTGAAGGTTTAAAACAAAATTCGATATACAAACACCACAAACTGGTTGTCACTTTGGTGGTGCCCATATATTACCAGTTGAAAATAACTTATGTTCGATTAGTGATGAGAATTAAGTAAGAGTTCAAATGGATTGAAGTTTAACTCGAAATTTAAATCATACGGTAACGACTAGAGTTGTTCAATTCACGTGTAGTTTCTGGAAAATGCACGAAGGTCCACCCAATTAAGCCCTACAAAGTAACACTATGTAAATAATCAATTCAACCCTCGGTCTACTATTTCTAAAAAAATTCACAAAAAAAATAAAAAATATGTTATTGAGTAAGAGCCACTTTAATAATTTATATTATATACACTGACACACTATTTTGTAACAGGTAGCATGGTTGATTCTTGGAAACAATAGAGGAAATGCAAACTAATTTAAAACTCGACTGACTGATGACTGGCAGGGCTTGAAGAATTGATAGTTGGGATTGGACTTAATGGACCAAACTTGGGGGAAGTAAAATATGTTATCACTTGTCAGTGTATTAACGCGTTTTCAATTATCACATCGCGTTGGACTCATTTGGTGTCGGAAAGGAACTGTATAGACAAGAGACAGAAACTCAGTAACCAAAGCCATCTAATTAATTATGGAGTTTCTCCTTTTCTTTAAATTGGTTAAGAAATTTCTGAGTAACTGCATGCACGACTTGAGTCGCAATAGTGTTGGTTAATGACGGCACTTGCCCATATTATAAGTCGTAACCAGTTAAATGAAAATCTAACAATTATATCTTCTAAATTTTAGTTTTTTCCGAATTCTTTGCGTAATTATTAAAATTGTTCCGTTAATATTTATAAAAATATATATTAAGAATCAATTTTGAATGAAAGTAATTCAGATTTCAGTGTAAGAAGAGTCACAAGCAACTTTGTGAAATTAATAAATTATAACTCTGATTATTATTTAATAAATTAGTTAGTCATAATTTTTTATATTTACGGATTTAATGTTTCTTCTATAAACAGTAGATAATTTTAATTTAATCTTATTTACTATACGTATATGAAAGTGAGTGAACTCTATTTTTTCTCTTTTTCTCTATTCTCTCACTTATAATAAGACCTTTTTATAAAATATTAGATTATATAAATATTTTATTTAATTTCACTTTATTTTTTAGCAAGATCATAAGATTTTTACATATTTCTTAAATGGAAAGCTAATTTTATTGCAAGTCAATTTCGCCATGAGTGTTCACAGATTATACTGGATCAATTTTAAGCGAGAAAACTAACAATTGAAATTTAATCAGTATGCTTTTATTATCTTTAATTTACTTAATTTAGTCCAAAACACAAATCTGATCTGATTTAATCAAACATAGTTGTTTTGATTAAATCAGTTTCAAAAAAAATTGATATAAAATTTTAATATAGAAATTCGTAAATTAATTTAAATACATCAAATACAAGTTTAAATTTACTTTTCAAAATACAATGAATACAAGTTTAAACTAATTCACAAAAATAATTTATAATATAAGTCAAAATCATTTGTCCATCCCATGTCCTAATTTAAGAAAGGAAGTTAAATTTAACTTGAGATATATGTTAAAAAAAATTCTTAAATAAATATATGCAATATGAAAATTTAATTTGTTAACATGAAATA